TTTTTTTTTTTTTTTTTTTTTTTCCTTTTTCATGTTTAATATTAAATTCAATCGACTAAATTATATAAAATATATGTAATCGTTCCAATTTAAAAAATATTATCAAACCTTCAATAATTCTCTCCCAACTTAAATAAATAGATAAATAAATAAATAAATAAATAAATATATATATATATATATATATATATATATATATATATTATATATATATATATATTTTTGTAGTTAATTTGAGAGGAAAATAGTTGATATTTATTTATAAAAATATATCTAAATTTCTAATAATTTCATTATAAAAATGATTATAACTGTGAACGAAGGTCTAGTTAGCATCGAAGAGGAAATGCATCCAGGAATCCTTTACTCCATTTGATGAAGTAAGGAGAATTCTAAAGATGAAGGTGTCGTAGAACATGAGAATGAAGCAGGTGATCTTAACAAGATTGAGTGACTTGGAACGGAGGTTGGAGTGGGGTCAAGGAGTCTCGTTAGAGTCGTTGGGAACAACTTGTAGTTTGTTGTTTCTGGTGTTTTAGTCACCTTTCAATGACTCCCTAAATTGGAGAGGAGCGAAGCTGCTTTACCAAGTGAAAGAAAGGAGAGGACCACCTGTTGGAGGAGAAGAAAGATTTTTATGGAATGTCCTACTCCTACCCTGATCAACCAATCCCCGAATTTCAGGGGCATCTCTATCTTAGGCAGGACCAGGAAACACTAATTAGTCGTGCCTATCCCTCTAGCCTATCATTATTGGGTCGATCCGATGAATAAAAAGATGAGAAACTTGATTGTTCATATATATATATATGAGAGAAAGAATATACAAAAATTGAAAGGGGAAGGGGTTTTGTTGGGAGAAAGTTTATACAAAAAGTTTATAACTAAAAGAAGACGTTTACTCTTTAGTAACCAAAGAAACCACTCGAAAAGAACCAGATTCTCAGAAAGCTTATCATGAATTTATCGATCATAAATCACTTAAGACTAATTTGACATCAGAGCAACCAAACAAACCAATAACAGAAAGCACTTTCGACCCCGAACACATAAGCATCAAAATCCCTCTATAAAACATGATTTAAGAAACCATAGCTTTTAAAAAGGTCGATGGTTTTTTGAAGGGGGTTAAAAATTGTAGGTGGGCTGAATGAATGGGTGAAAAGCAAAGGTCCAGTGGTTACCAAGAAGCTTAGGAAAATAAGTGAGCTCCTCTATAAGCAATGTAGCCATGAATTCAGGGGAAAAGGGAAAAAGAAGCTTTAAAGTAAATGCTCCTCTTCTCCAACTAATTTCCTCTTTTCAATCCTTAACTTTCAGTCCAAACATTTAACACTGGGCCCTACACCTTCCAATCCCTATGATTAATCAACCTTTTACTATAGCCTGTTTATGCATAACTAAGGTAGGGTCACTAATATTCTAACACTTCTATTTGGTTTGGAAATCTCAGCCTCTAAACTAGTCAAAAGCAAGGCAAGTCTCTATCAGTATCTTGCTTGCAAGCTTTGGCTATGGAGCCGCTTGCACCATTCCTACCAACTTCAAACAAACCTTCATATCAGCGCAGCTTTCTAAATGGTATAAATACTTAACATTCTTCACATTTTAAATCATTCATTCATCATTCATACTTGCATTACCTCTGGAAGAGAAAACCATTGCCAAAGGACAATGGCTAGCTTGGTTTGCTTTGTTCGTCGTCTGACGTTTCTCTTTGTCACCTGTTGTTTTGGATTGATCTCGTTTTCTGCAGAGGCTGCCGTAAAGAGATATCAGTTTGATGTGAGTTACTATATTCATTCAATAGCTGTAGATGTAACATATGGATACAAGGATTTTGAATCTTGATTCAGTTCTACTGTTTTAACTTACTTTCTTCTGAGATTTTGTTTCTCAGGTTCAAGTGCAGAATATCAGTAGGTTATGCCATGCGAAGCCGATTGTCACCATAAACGGAAGGTTTCCAGGGCCGACGATATATGTACAAGAAGGAGATCGAGTTCTTGTTAATGTTACAAACCATGCTCAATATAACATGTCGATTCACTGGTAATAATGAGAAATGACTTCTGCATAACACAAGAGTTAAAGTTGACAAAAGAAAATTTCATTACTTGGGCTTCTTATCTGTCTCCTGCATATGTTGCAGGCATGGGTTGAAGCAGTATCGAAACGGGTGGGCGGATGGACCTGCTTATATTACACAATGTCCTATTCAAAGAGGAAGCAGCTATACCTATGATTTCAACGTTACAGGACAAAGAGGCACATTATGGTGGCATGCACATATTCTTTGGCTAAGGGCAACTGTTTATGGTGCAATTGTCATATTGCCCAAGCAAGGAACACCTTATCCATTTCCTCAGCCAAACAGAGAATTTGAAATTCTTCTGGGTTAGATGAGAAAGTTTACTTAAAAATTATAGCGTTTGGATCATTGCAAGAAAATGAAAAATAAAGATGGAATTGATACCTCTGGTGCAGGAGAATGGTGGAATAATGATGTTGAGGCCGTTGTCAACCAAGGATCCAGCATGGGCGTGCCACCAAATATGTCCGATGCTCACACAATCAATGGCAAGCCAGGGCCACTTTTCCCTTGTTCAGAAAAACGTAAGCAAGAAAGCTATTGAGTCTCTAACAACCAAGTTACAGGGAACGGAGCGCTGATACTGATTCGAGTCTTGTTTGTGGTTCATTTTCAGATACTTTTGCCATGGAGGTTGAAGCAGGAAAGACGTATCTCTTGAGAATAATCAATGCTGCCCTCAACGACGAGCTTTTCTTTGCGATTGCTGGTCACAACATGACGGTTGTGGAGGTTGATGCAGTTTACACGAAACCCTTCACTACACAAGCTATATTAATTGCACCAGGACAGACCACAAATGTCTTGGTGCAAGCCAACCAACCACCAAATAGATACTTCATGGCTTCCAGGTCGTTCATGGACGTTCCAATTCCTGTGGACAACAAAACAGCCACCGGTATTCTCCAATATAAAGGAATCCCTAACACAATCCTCCCAATCCTTCCTCAATTGCCGGCCTCAAATGACTCGTCATTTGCTTTGAGCTACAATAAAAAGATCAAAAGCTTGAACACACCTCAATATCCTGCTAATGTTCCACTCAAAGTTGATCGAAAGCTTTTCTACACGATTGGTTTGGGCCAAAACGCTTGCCCCACTTGCGTAAATGGAACCCAATTAGTTGCTTCATTAAACAACATCTCTTTTGTGATGCCCCAAATTGGTCTTCTTCAATCTCACTACTTCAATATCAGTGGAGTATTTAGAGCTGATTTCCCAGACAGACCTCCGACTCCATTCAACTATACTGGAGCACCACTGACTGCTAATCTGAGAACCGCAGTGGGCACAAGGCTTGGCAAAATTGCATTCAATTCTACAGTCGAGCTGGTACTCCAGGACACCAATCTTCTTACTGTTGAGTCTCATCCATTCCATCTCCATGGCTACAACTTTTTTGTCGTTGGAACCGGGATCGGAAACTTCGATCCAGCCAAAGATCCAGCTAAGTACAACTTGGTCGATCCAATTGAGAGAAACACAGTTGGAGTTCCCACTGGAGGATGGACCGCCATCCGATTTAGAGCCGACAACCCAGGTGAGTATTGACTTTAAAAAATGAACAATAACTTCTAGTTAAATATATATATAGCTCATATCATTTTGGTAATGAACGTACAGGAGTCTGGTTCATGCACTGTCATCTCGAGGTCCATACAGGATGGGGTCTGAAAACAGCATTTGTTGTTGAAGATGGACCTGGAAAAGATCAATCCATTCTTCCGCCCCCAAAGGATCTTCCACCTTGCTAGCCTTTGTACCTGGAAAAAAGGAAGAAACAAGAGAAGAAAAAGGTGTGCGTGGAAAACACAGTGTTCGTTAGAGTCCTGCTCAAATTGCAGGAAATTTCTTTGCGACTTCAATTTATAATAAGATGCCAAAACATTGCATATTGCTTTCATTCTTTATCAAGTGTATTCATTCATAAATCCAAATCAATGATGCGTTTGAGGAACAGGAAACCAAATTACAAAAAGCTTGATCAAATAAAGGCTTACTTCTAGAAATTACATGCCCAAGTTTTCTAGCAAACATTAATTTGACTATTAAGATATAGTTGGGGTAAACTAGAGTCTAACTCAACAAGCACAAAAAGCCCAATAAACTTAAAGGTACCAACGAAATGCTTCTTCTAGTACTCTTGGATGCAAGAAGGATTCATAGTAACCACATTCGAAGAACAAACTATAGCCACCAAGACTAGATTTGAACCACATCAGTCAACAACCAGTACTAGATTATGGTCAAAGCCAGACACAGCTTGCACGACGTTGCAATTCTCGAGGCTATCGAGAAAAACTGGCTCAGATTCATCACTGGAACTTCCTAACCCAAGTCTTCCGTCCCTTCCACATCCCCAAACCCATACTTCTCCCCTAGAGCTGAGAGCAATTGAATGTGCACGACCTCCCGACACTGATATAGGTATTTCCCCTGCTAATCCTTCAATTATTAACGGGATGCTGTTTTGTCCTTCTCTTCCAAGTTGAGACGTCTGATTCCATCCCCATGAGATGACACTTGTCGCATCACTTACGTCTTTATTTGAAGTATCTTGGTATAAGGCCAGAGAATGACCGAGCCCTGCTGCTACAGATTTTACATGGAAACTTGAATCAACCGGTAACAACCCCAAATCTTGTCTAACTCTTCCCAATTGCCCATATACGTTGCTTCCACAGCTTAAGAGGGTGCCATCACCTGAGAATTTGATATTGGCATCAAACAAATATAAACAGATGTTTGGGTAGTAATATGAAAGTGATTAGCTCCATTGTTACTTACGGCAAAGGACCAAGGAATGATCAAGTCCACATGCAATGTCTACCACTTCAATTCCAGTAAGGTCTTCCACCAAATGAGGTTCCCATATTATTGGCATATTTTTCTCATCCTCCATTGATTCCAAAACCAACCTTTCAGCAAGCTGAATGTTTGGTTGTTCTTGGCCATTTGTAGATCTATATGAACTTGAATCCAAAGGAGACATCTTCAGAGTTCTTCCAATATTTCCCAACCTGCCATCAGCATAATAGCCCCACCCGAATAATTTTCCATCCTCACTTAATGCAAGTGCATGTCCCCAACCAAAAGAGACCTACCAAGAATATGAAAGTTCTTTTCTTGTTAAAAATTTAAAGAGCTTGTGCAATTATTACTACTACTGCTACTTGCTACTTATTTTTGCTATAGTTAAAGAATTTGAATAAGAATGCCAGCAAGCCAACCTTAACTATCCTTTCACCTTCAACTGCTTGAACTCTGGACGGTAAAACAGCCTCTGTGACATCTTTTCCAAGACCAAGCTGCCCGCGCTTAGACTTTCCCCAAATCCACAGACTTCCATCATCCCCAAGAGCAGCAGAGACAACGCCTGATGCAGATGCCGAACGAACGTTCACTAGGTCCAGCCCTATCACTCTATTAGGTACATTCCAAGAATCTCTGTCAAAAATGATGCAAGGAAATCATGAACACAATTTTTAAAACTAAAATGGCTCATAACGAAAAGTTCACATCAAAATATGAGAAATGTTATCGTTTCACCTGCATATCAGAAACTTTGACAAAATTATTTTGATGTACTAATCATAGTTTAATTTTTCTGTTGCTCAAGTCAACATATGAGATAGTAACTACTAATCGAACCATCGGACGAAGTACTATTAGGAATTACGGATCTCCACAATGGTACGATATTGTCCACTTTGAGCATAAGTCCTCATGGCTTTGCTTTGGGCTTCCCAAAAGGCCTCGTACCAATGAATATGTACTCCTCCTTTACTTATAAACCCAATAAAAATCAGCGACTTACTCCCAACAATCCTCAACAAGTACTCCAATAGACTACAGAGCTCAGCATTATTTAACAACTAAGAAGCATTTCTTGGGCTATACCTTCCAATATCAGATAGAACTTTTTAACATTGAACAAAAGAAAACAACTTAAAATAGCGATCGCATTTTTGAACAGCTATAAGAAAACCAACACGGATTCTGTAAGAATTCTAATCGAAATTGAGAGAGGGAGACATAAAGCTACCTAGGGGAAGCAAAGCCCCGGCCAAGCTGCGCTTCCTGATCTCTGCCCCAAGCCCAGAGACAGCCTTGCGAATCGATTGCGAGAGAATGATAGTGCCCTGCGGCTACACTGGTAACGTCGGGAGGAAGCCCCGGGACGGTGGTAGGCTCGTAAGCGGCGCCACCAATGCCAGTGAGCGAAGTGGGCAAGCCGATTGCACCATGGCTACCATCCCCAAAGCTCATAACCGCCCTGCTACTCAGGCATCTTCTTCCGAAGGGGATGATTGAGAGTGCCCTTCTCTGTTCCCCCGCCAGAATTCGAATTCCACGAATCATTTTTCTCCACGATCAATTCTCAACCATGTTTATTCGAATTCAACTCCATCATGCGATGGCTTGGATGCTCTGTATTGCCATGCGGTAATTGCTAGAACCTTTGTCTAGATTCATTAATTAATACTTTTCTACATTTTTTAAAATTAAAAAATAATCTTAACATTAGTAATAGATTTAAAAAATCTGCAACCGCTAGATATTTCAGAAGCACAGAAACGGACGGTGGAGATTGAATTGCTAGCAGTACGGAAACGAAGTGGAGAAGTATCTCCAGTTCCCATTCTCTCGTGCCTACCATTGTCGAGAGCTCGCCACTATCTCCACCAATCCAAGTGAAAGAAAAAGCGAGGGCGGCGCCACCGTTGGTATCACAGGCTGCCAAGATAGATTCCGATCGCAAACGGAAGAAATCGGCTTCGTCGATCTCCTCTGCGGATCGAACTGCGAAGGAAAAGCGAAGCAGCAGTAAGAAGAACAAGATGTCCTCTTCGGCGGCTGCCGGTCAGGTTAGGGCATCGCACATACTCATAAAGCACCAAGGTTCACGACGTCCTGCTTCGTGGAAGGATCCGGAAGGCAGAATTATCAAGAACACTACTCGCGAAAGCGCCGTCTCTCAGCTTACTGTCATTCGAGACGACATCATTTCCGGCAAGTCTAAGTTTGAGGATGTTGCCTCTCGCATTTCTGACTGCAGCTCTGCCAAGCGTGGCGGCGATCTAGGTGCGCTAACGTCCTTTCTCTATTTTCTGTTCGTTACGTACTTGTTCTTTTTTATTTGTCATTTCTATTTGTGCCTGGATGTCTGTATCTTGCTTGGATTTTATTGGAGATATGTGTCGATTATATTTACGTTTTGCTTCGTATAAGGGTTGGAATTCATCTCGTTTTGGTTGTACAGGTCTCCAAGTTGAATTTCTACTTGCGTTTTGAAAATCCTATTATGATCCTGCGTTGTCAAGGCTCTAACACTTATCATAAGATTGTGAAATATTTGGTTACCTTCTTTCTTGCTTTTAGATTACGGGACAAAGTTGATTGTGTTAGGAATTACATACCGTTCACTTTAAGAATAATCTCTTGTTGTTTTGATTTTGATTTTTCCAAAATTTCTCATACCTGTATTCACCCGGTTGTAATTTCATGATCATCCCCTTAATTAGCCAGCAAATGTAGGACAACAATCCTCAACAATTTTCTCCTCGAACAACGTACACCATAGAAACTCTCATGAGACCTATGGAATCCTCGAACAACCTCCCCTTAATTGAGGTTGACTCCTTTTTCTGGAGCCCTCGAACAAAATACACCCTTTGTTCGACACTTGAGTCACTTTTGACTACACCCTCGAAGCTAGCAACTTCTTTGTTCGACACTCGAGACTTCGATTAGCATGACTAAGTTAAGGACATGACTCGGATACCATGTTAGGAATCACAGACCTCCACAATAGTATGATATTGTCCACTTTAAGCCTAAGCTCTCATGACTTTGTTTTAAGTTTTTTCAAAAGGCCTCGTATCAATGGAGATGTATTACTTACTTATAAACCCATGATCATCTCCTTAATTAGCCAACATGAGACTCCCTCCCAACCTCCCAACCATCCTCAACCGGTTGATGCTACTATGATGGATATAATTTGTTGGGTTAGATCATTTTACTTAAAAACTTATTTAAGGACTACTTACTCGGTGCTTGATTTTAACTTAGCTAAACAGGATTCCTTGATGGGATGTCAATTTGTTTCACCATCTATTCAATTGGAAATCCATCTAGAGCTCCTCTTATATTTGGTAAAACGCAGTAACATCAACACTATGAAAGTGCCCGTCTATATAATTTCTGCCTGCTGGTGTGAATAAACTTTTGGCCCCGGCTAATACTAAAGATTTTAAAATATATGAGATGGAGAAGCAGCAATAATTTTACCCGTTACTAGTATTCCACCATAAACTGGTACATCATCTGAACTGTATAATTGGTTCTATTTAATCTTGTAGTCTATTTTCCCCCTCTGAACTGTATTTCAAGTTAGTTTTACCTGAAATATGTGCTAGCGAAGAGGTTGTTCCTCGAAGTGGAGTAGACAAGAGGCGGTGTGCCAGTAAGGACACTAGACCTCGAAAGGGGGTGGATTTGGTGGCGGTCTCACATCGATTGGAGAAAGGAACGAGTGCTAGCGAGGACGCTGGGCCCTAAAGGGGGATGAATTGTGATGTCCCACATTGGTTGGGGAGGAGAACAAAATACCATTTATAAGGATATGGAAACCTTCTCCTAGTAGACTTGTTTTAAAGCCTTGAAGGGAAGCCCGAAAGGAAATTCCAAAGAGGACAATATCTACTAGTGATGGGCCTGAGTCGTTACAATTTAGTAGTTCAGTAGCAGTTTTTTTTAGATCATTTCTAAGATCAGAAGGATATGCTGTGATGTTCTATTCGTTAGTAGCTGACAGTTTATTCTAGCAACTGTTTGTGCGTGGATTAGCATTAAATACACTGCATCTGAATGAGCCAGAACACAATAATGTTATTGCAGGTCCTTTTGGGCGTGGCCAGATGCAGAAGCCTTTTGAAGAAGCAACATTTGCCCTCAAGGTTGGAGAGGTAAGCGACATTGTGGATACTGACAGTGGAGTTCACATAATCAAGCGGATTGCTTAACTTCTCTCATGAATTTCCATGCTCTAATGATGAAAGCATTTAATCCATTTGGCCTTTGGGCTAATCGAAGTGTTCAAGTAGGGTTTGGCTATAGCTACTCTGTTTCAGTGACCTAAGATTTTTCTGCAGTTCGATGATTTATGCCATTGGATTATTGCCTTTTTAAATGCGACAACATTAACGCTCAAGCCGATATGGTTTGAATTGTTTGCACCCATAAAGTAGAAGGTCGAACATCTGACTTCTTGATCAATATTATTATCTATAATTTATCTGTTCAACTTTATTTTTTTTTTTTTTCACTTGGAAACTATTTTCTCCCCCATTTTATTTTATTGAGGATAAAAATATTTTTTATTCTAAAGTTTGAAATTGATGTCTCGGTTTAAAAATTATACTTTTAATTTTGTGAACTTTGGAAAATGGTTCACTTGTGGTTAAAGGGAATTTTTCAAAGAGAAAATCGATGGAAAGTGGTTATAAAATTTTGATCTGATTGTCGTTAAAATTTTGAGACCTAAAAACTAAATTAACAAGACCCAGAACTCGAAGGACCAAAAAAAATAATTTACTCAACTTGTAATCGGCATAAAATAGTCGAAACCAATCAAGTCAACGAAATCGAGCAAATTGGTTCATCAAATAAAAACATAGTAAACTAACGTTAAAGCAACATTTAAAAACATAATGCATCAAGTCTATTGAAATAGAGCCTTGACCTTCCGATTAGAAAGACCATGTTGCACTCATACATTAACTTGAAGTCTATTCGAAGTTAGGGTGTTAAAAAGAAATGGTGATATGAAAAACCTAATTAAATCAACCTATAATTTGTGTTAGAATTTGGTTAAAATAAGATTTTAAAATATAAATTAAATTTAGTGGTAAAATTTTCAAAATATATATTGAAATTAATTAGTAATTCTTAGAGAATAAATAAATATATGTTTTAATTATTAACATTTTCTTTAAATGGAAACAAAAAAAATAAAATAGATGAATTCATTATTTAGTAAATTAATTTGGTTTTAAAAAAATGTCACCCAAGTTCACGTCACTGACCTTAAGATTCAAAAACCACGAATGGGAAAAAAAAATTATAAAAAAACTGAAAAGACCATATTACCCTCCATACATATTATGTGGCACGTTTTGATTGGCTAATCAGAATGAATTCTCCAAAACGCGGCTATTATAAATAGCCTTCCCCCTCTCCCCTTTCTTCTACCACATTACTTTCTTTCGATTTCTCTCAGATCCGACTGATCAATCGGGTTGATTCCAATGGCATCTATCGCCGACGCCACCAGATCCTCTTCCGACACTAACGGCGTACCGGCGGAGAAGCGCCGGACGGCCTTAATTACCGGCATTACTGGCCAGGATGGTTCGTACCTGACCGAGTTTCTTCTCGAGAAGGGCTATGAAGTCCATGGATTGATCCGGCGATCTTCCAACTTCAACACTCAGCGAATCAACCACATCTACATCGACCCTCACAATGTTCACAAGGCACGAATGAAGCTTCACTATGCTGACCTCACCGACGCCTCCTCTCTCCGCCGATGGCTCGATATCATCCAACCCGATGAGGTCTATAACCTCGCTGCTCAATCGCATGTTGCTGTTTCTTTTGAAATTCCGGATTATACTGCCGATGTTGTCGCCACTGGTGCCCTCCGTCTGCTTGAGGCCGTTCGATCTCATATCTCTGCCACTGGCCGTACTCAAATTCGGTACTACCAAGCGGGATCGTCTGAAATGTTCGGGTCTACTCCGCCGCCTCAGTCGGAGACGACTCCATTTCATCCTCGATCCCCTTACGCTGCAGCGAAGTGCGCCGCGCATTGGTATACTGTGAATTACCGTGAGGCCTACGGGATCTTCGCTTGTAATGGAATACTATTCAACCACGAATCGCCGCGCAGGGGAGAGAATTTCGTGACAAGGAAAATCACACGGGCTGTAGGGCGCATCAAGATTGGGCTGCAAAGCAAGTTGTTCTTGGGGAATCTGCAGGCGTCGAGGGATTGGGGTTTTGCAGGGGACTACGTGGAAGCCATGTGGCTAATGCTACAGCAAGAACAACCCGATGATTACGTGGTTGCGACGGAGGAATCACACACAGTGGAGGAGTTTTTGGAGGTCGCATTTGGGAATGTCGGATTGAATTGGAAGGACCATGTGGTGATCGACAAGAGATACTTCCGGCCGGCGGAGGTCGACAATCTCAAGGGGGATGCAAGCAAGGCGAGGAAGGTATTGGGATGGAAACCAAAGGTTGGATTTGAGAAGCTGGTGAAGATGATGGTGGATGAAGACATTGAAATAGCCAAGCGGGAGAAGGTGTTGGTCGATGCTGGCTACATGGATGCCCAGCAGCAACCTTGATCGGTTCAGATCAGATAGAGCTGACCCAGATCCAACCACCTGCAATTTTCCCAATCCTAGTGTTCCTTGAAATGCAATCCTTGTTGAACAGAGAATATAGTTTGATTTGTAGAATTCATTGTCTGTTTTCTTCTGTGCTATTTCTATATGAAGTTCTTCCACATTCAGTTTATTGGATCTGTTCTCATCTTCAACATGTATTACCAATGTTTTCTTCTGGGAGCTTCTTATGAATCCAAAATTCCTCAATGGAGTTTCAGACATGCTCATTTCTGAAACCGAGATTAAGAACTCTTCAAAATCCAGGCCAAGTAGAGCTCATTGAATCACCGACAATACCATCTTTCAATCAGTATGATTTATTGAGATGGGTCACATGGTGTGTTCAGGCTACGTCGGTGGAGAATCCTCTAGTGATGAAAGGGCCAGAGGAAAGTCCTTAAATTGGCTGTGGCCTCTGCTTGGGCGGCAGGTCGGCAGGTGGTGATCTTAGTGGGAGCCAACTCCTTTCAAATGGGCTACTACGGTCAACTATCCTAGATTTTGGAACACTGCTGTGGTACATTGTTTTCAACAGCTTAATTTTTGCTGTCAACAGCAAAAATTGACTATAAAATGATTTTCTATGTTTTCCACCTCTGGATGAATGCTGAAAAAGAAAGTCAATTATATATATGAACAAGATGGGATTGATATCCGATGTTTCAAGAATTGGCTAAGGAATGCTTTGTTTTCCTGAATTACAACATGATTTCCAATGATGAATCGATCTAATTTGAGTTCTTGCAGGAAGACACTGAATCGGCGGTGGCAAAAATGATTACCAAATCAAGTTCCATGCAAAACAATCCTTCCAATTCTTCTAGTGTAAGAACCTTAATAAGGCTGCAGTGTGATAAATACCTGTCTACAGCCAACCTCCGCAGGCAAGGTTTGAACTTCGAGAAAATCTGTAGAGTTAGTTATTCCTTATCATTCCTGGTATTCCTCCTCTCTATGAGATGTAGGATTGACCCCGCTCTTTCCACAAACTCCTCGCGCCGCTGTTTCTAGGACTAATCTGTAATTGAAGATTGTGGTAGTTTAGATATAACAGAGTTCATTTCTCATTAATGCTCAGCCTAGTTAAGAGTAAAAAAGCACTGCATCCCAACAAAATACTCCACATTGAAGCTGATACAACCATTTCCCATAAACTCATCCATTAATCCCAAGAAAAAAAGAAAAACTAACTCTACCAACGACAAAATCCATATATCCTTGCACTTACATGAAACTACAATGAAATGCCCATAAACCAGTGGTCCGTACACAAATAAAAGGTCTGCCAATTCTTGCAAAACTCGTCTCTACCCTGTGAAACCTAAAATAAGGTCCTCCAACTGCCCATCCTTTCTGAAACACTAATGGAATCCCATTGGAATCTCCCCACTGCTTAGACTAACCAATGCACATCGAAAGTCACTTGAACCTCAATATGTTTTCCTTTATTCCGAAAGCTGTGACTTTTGCCTTTATCTTCTTTTTCTATGTTAGTAGAGAAACGTAAATACGCTAGGCAATCAAACAAAAACAGCAGGAAAAAGGTATAATTTTGTGACCACAAGCCAGAAGAAGCTGAGGATATCTGTGCCACTACTAGACCCTGAATCTCTATCCGGAGACCGGCGACGAAGTGATCAGTCTTCATCTCGTCATTGCTGACATACTCAGGGCAGAACCTTGCCAGCCTATTAAACTCGAGATCATCTTGTCATGGTCCCCCTATTTCAGTTCTAGGAATGTTGTCTGACACTTGAGTAATATTTACACAAATAGGCTTCCTTGAACTGATTCCAAGAAATATAACCTCCCACTGGAGTAATAGTTTTCCGAGTGCCTTTCCACCAAAAATGGGCTTCGCCCTTTAGCATGTAAGTCCCTCGCCTTTCCACTAAAAATGGGCTTCGCCCTTTAGCATGTAAGTCCACAGTGGACTTGATATTTTGGTGGACAGTTCATGTATAGAAAGACCGTCTCTATAGCCTCCAACCGGGTCTCAGCTGCAACATGGTCCACCTTGTCTAACCGCTGAAAATCCCTAAAATAACGAGACTCTACAGTCATCCCCATATCTCTCGTTCCCTGCATTGTAGCCTGATTGGCCGTTAGTGTCTGCATTAACTGAGTCAATTGTGCTTGATTTTCCATAGAGGTTCTCATGAATACCTGTAACACATCCAGTGTAAACGCCGTTGTCGGCTGGGCAGGAACCTCCTCAAGAATCAGTGCTGGCGCTGGTGGAGTCCCTCTAGGCACCGGGTCCTGAGGAATAGTCTCTTGAATAGCCCGAGGCTCGGCCTTTCTTCTGCCTCTCCTCGGTGCAGGTGTCTGTGGCGGCGCCTATTCCTCATCTGAGGTTAGCTCTCTGGTTTCCTCCAGGGGTGGGTGCTGCTCCACCTCGGGGATAGGAATAGTTGGGTCCTCTTCGACCCTTCTCCTGCCCCTCCTAGGACCAAGTCCGAGATAGGCTCCTCTCCTCTTAGGCACCATTATCTGTCAACAGACAGGGAGTGAGAGTCAATACCACGTTTTTATTGTGCCTAATCAAAAGGAGCACAATCATTATTATTTATAACCCTCGACTTGAGTCCCATAAACATATAACTCAATTTTTCCTACCTCTCAAGTATCAATGAACTTACCAGGTCACGGCGGAGCATGTCAGAAGCTTAAGCCATAGAGATACTAGACTCTATACCCTCATGTCTACAGGACTTAAAACCGGTGCTCTGATACCAAACTGTCACAGCCCAAAATTTGAGACTCGAAATCAAGGGCTGGACTAACAAACTATGCCATGAAAACGTGTAAAATGTCTATCAGAAGCTTAAGCCATAGAGATACTAGACTCTATACCCTAATGTCTACAAGACCTAAAGCCGGTGCTTTGATACCAAACTGTCACAACCCAAAATTTGAGACTCGAAATCAAGGGCTGGACTAATAGACTATGCCAGGAAAACGTGTAAAATGTGATAAACAGTAAGAAATTACAGAAAGATTTTAGCAATTACGCACAAGAATTAATGTCAAAACAAAGTATACAAGTAGTGTATGTGTTTCATGGAAAAGTAAGTGTATGAGTTACAAAAATGTATGACATATCTAAACATGAACATGTACAAACTCCTAGACACCCCGGGACACTCCTTCGTGGCTTTAAGATTCCGCACGCGTTCCCGCCTCGAACCATGGCATCACTCACCTGGAAAAAAAAAAAAAAAAATTAGAAAGGAATGAGTATAAAAATACTCAATAAGCAGCCTATTTGTAGGCTCTTCTCGCATCCTTATCTTAGTAGGTATCCACGGCCTTGTCTCGGGGTTCTAAGGAGTGAGAACTAAACTACAACTCTCTTTCTACAGCTTAGGAGGCTTGCCCATCTTATGCAGTGGATGATCCGTGTCTTGAGGCGAGACGCAACCTCACAAGTAAAACTGAGGGGACAGTATGATTGGATCTGCCTAAGTAACTTTCTCTGAACATCATCCGTGGAGGTTAGCTCACAACCCTCCCTCCCGCGGGACCATACTTCCACTAAAATCGGGGGATTGCGAACCCTTGTGTGCCAGTCAGCTACTAAGTCACCCTACTTAGTTCCACACTCCCCCACTCAAGGACGGATTTCTACGACCCAAGGTCCTGTTCAGAAGACCCCTTAGCTACCACCACTAGGTCAGGGCACAGGTCACACTTCACTGTCCGGCTCTGTCTAGCTAGCTCAACGATCTCAGTATCGGAGTTCTGTCTCGACGGGATGGTACCAGAATAGAGAGGGAAGTGGAGGCTATCCACATTGCTCAACTCTGGCGGGCTACCTACAGTTACCATGGTGTCCTACTAGTCTTTCTAGGGCGGATCTTGGGGGGTTAAACTTGAATTCATTCATCTCTAGGATTCCCGTGCAATGTCTCACAAACCTGTCGTGGTCAGGAATACTGGGGTCTGGGTCTGCTGGTAATTGCTTCGCGAGACTAAATGCATGATATTTTAGAGGTATCCCTTTCTAAAGTTTTGTCTAGCCTGCTTAGTCTCAAGCGCCCTAATCTAAGCTTGTAGTTTCTTCCTATTCAACAAGAAAGATAATACAAGCAATCATGCATTGGAGTTAACATGCAACAATTCATGTAATATTAACAAACATGTTCAACGGGTAGATAACGTCCATTTTCACCCTGAGCGTAGATTTCACAAATTTCCCTTCCTCCTCATGCATACCTACAATATCACATTCTCAGTCTAAACAGATTTCATAGTCATTCATATCTAGATTCCATTGATTTCCTTAGTTAATTCATTTCCATGATTTCTATACTAATATACTAGTTTATGAATTTGACACATGTATGCTTATTCCAAGCGGTTCCTACAAGTGTTGCTCGTGGAAATCCAAATGGCTACTTACTTGGTTGACGCATGTCTTTCCAAGATCGAATTTCTTGACGAAGAAGGTTCCAAAAATTCTGAAATTTCCTTGATATGTCCTAATTCACATAACAATAAGGTCAATATCGAAATCAGGAGGAAAAACAAACAAACGGAGGCCGAACTAGTGAAAATATGGGATTCCACGCATCGGCAGGTTCCCCCACGCGCAAGGCATACACGCGGCCAGTGATGCACTTCGAGCCCAACGAATGGAGACCTACCCTTCGAATTTTGTGGGGGTGACACATGGCGCACAGGGAGTGGCGAGATCGTCGGGTTGGACTGCTGGTCATCAGATCGGTTTGGCGGTTGTTCTGGGTCGACCCGAATCTGCGCGCTTTGGCGCTTGTCGACAGGCTAGCCGAACCCGCTACTTTAGTGGAACACTGCCATGTGTCGCTTGCCGGCTCCGCCCTGCTTCTCTGTTCATTGGGTGACGCATAGCGGCGATTCTCTCTCCTCCTACGTGTTTTCAATTTCCAGATTGTTAGGTTTTCGCATTTTCGTTCTATTTTCTTCCGATTTTTTAATCTTCCAATCTGTAATCCAAATCAACTAAGTTTCCACACAAACATTGGAGATCTCATATTCTACTCCTACCATGTATTTTTCCTTTATTTGTTTATTGAATACAGAATGAATTACAGCCATCCAAAGATACAAAAAAAACTCACGTTTTCTGTTTTTGAACGGTTAACTCAAACTCCAATTAAACTACGACTTTCATCCAGAAATCCTTCAAGAAAC